TACATTATAATTTGTTAAATACGAATCAAAGTCTTTTATTGAAAATGTTACTAGGATCTTCCCATCTTTCTAGTAAAATTTAAAAACAAATTCTCACCTAAAGAATTTCTTGAGATAGCTTATCTTTACAAACTTCCCCCAAAAGATCTCATCATTGGAATCATTGTTCTTATATTAGTGCGCACTTGTCAATGAAGTGCAAATTCACAATTAATTATTACAATTGACAACCTTTTATCGAGGCCATTACCGAATCCTCTCATCATTTTGGTAAAATCCGAAAATGTCATCTCACCTAGAGAATTTTTTGAAGAAACTTATCCTTACAAGCTTCTCAGAGAAATCTTATCATTGAGAAGTTAATTCAGATAGTTATCCCATTTTATACCAATACATTTTTATCTTTATTTTATCTTATCATATTTTCATTCTTTTTCCTTTTTATTTATTCCTATCCCAATTTTACATAAAGCTATTTATTTCAATCAACTTGATACTATCATATTTTATTAGATATTAATTTTAATTTTTCCTAGTACATTTCTACTCCCATTTGATATCTATATAAACTTACATAACTAAGTATTTTATGATTATGTCTAATATTTCACCTTTTCCCATGTTTTATATTTCTTCCTAGACATATTCTATACCTAAATATACATTCCTTTTCTATAAATATTTTCAATCTAAATAAATCTATTTCTACCACTAAATATTTACTTTTCCTATATTTAATATCTACCTACCATTTTTATGATCAATTATTCATTTCTTTTCTACATATATTTTATTTGTTAGATATATTTTCATAACCAAACATTTTTCTATATATATTTTTTTAAAGAAGCTAAATATATTTTTTCACCTATCCACAATTTTTTGTTTCCTTACCCTCCATTTTCATTCCTTACATTTAAAAGGAATCTTTTTATATTTTTTCACTTATTCTATTCAAAAATAAATCTCATTTCATTTCTTCATATCCTAAACCTTACTAGGATCAAACATATGCAAATCAATTAAATAAGCTCAAGAATCTCAAATCTACAAATTAAACCCAAAGCAAAAGGAACAGGCCTTACCTCTCGTTGGGCTTAAACCAATTCTAATGATTAGGCCTTTGAAAGCCTGCAGATCTACTTCACTAATATGATCTCCTCTTTCTCCAAACGTTGCCATTTTGGCAATTTCACAACCTCTTGTTACTTAATGTCATTTGGCTTTCTCTTCTTACTCTCCCTCTATCCTTTAACTGACAACCATTTATAACCTAAACCCTAACTATTTAATACCTCTTTTCTCGCTTTCCTCCCCATTTCCACCTCCATTTTCTCTCTCTACAAATAACTCTCTCTACCTTCTCTCTAAAACAAACCCTAACCCCTTTTAAAGCAAAACATTTTTGCCATCGCCAAATACCCTATTCACGATTGTCGATCTATCCACCCACAATGTCACAGTCCTCACATGGACGTGAATTTCACATCGTTGAGATAATACTCTCAGTGAGTTGAGCTATAAAATCCTGCACTGAAGAGAAATTTTCAACGATGAGTAAGAGAGGATGTCATCATCCTAGATAGGAAAGTCATGAATCTTACATTGACTATGTACTAAAGTAATGTTGGGAATATAAGAGTTTACACTACTTTCAAACTATAAGGTGCTTTTTATGATATAAAACCATAAAACCAACTGTCCAAAATGGACAATACCTCCCAAAGGTTGGTGTGGACTATGATACATAGCCCCAAACCATTCCTAAACTCCTAAATCTTAAAGCCTTTTTGACAAATCATTTTTTTTGTTTTTCCACTCTAAGGTTTTTTGTGGAAAAGGATTTTTAGGGCTTTCAAAAACTCTCTCCAATATTTTTTTTAGGTTTTCTTGCACCCTCAAAAATCTTCTTTTTGATTTGGAAAGAGGACAACTTTTATAGCTGCCCAAGTGCTGGGGATGTAGCCATTTGTGCCTTGCCCGACACCTTGCGATAGTGGTCCTGCCAAATGGGAATCTTTCGTGTTTGGCAAGGCACAATTGTGCTTGTTAGGGTGCAAACGCACCCTATTGTGTTGGGTGGCTTCTTTTTTGTCAAAATTAAAATTTTCGTTTGTTTTCTCATTTTTTTATTTTTTTTGTTATTATATTTTTTTGGTTTATTTGTTTTATTTTAGTATGTTTAATATTTTTTTATTATTGAAAAATAAGTGTTTATATTTTCACAAGCAGAATATAGTGATGCAATCCTCATATGAGGTAGAATATGTGGTAGTAGTTAAAGCTTCAAATCAAGCGATTTAGCTGAGGAAAATTCTACATGATCTTGGCATGGATCAAACAAATCCTACAAAGCTGTTTGTTGATAACAAATCAACAATATCCATGACCAAGAATCCTATATTTCATGGGAAAACTAAGGACATCAACGTCAAGTACGATGCCCTCAAAGATGCATAAAATAAAAGGGAGATACTTGTGCAATATTGCAAATCAGAGGACCAGGTTGCAGACATTATGACCAAGTCTCAGTCTAAGTCGAGGTTTGAACTTAACAAAAATAAGTTGACGATTCAAGTTGCAAGCATTAAGGAGGAGTATTGTTGATAATCTTGGTGACTAGTTATTGTCAGTTGAAAATGGCAACATGACTTGTACGTGAAAATTGAAAACATGTTGTTGTGTTCAGTTACTTTTATTATGCCTTTACTTGAAATATTTTTTATAACTACCAAGTAACTAGTAGGCTATATATATTTTCAGGATTATGAATGAAGTGTGTGTGCTTTCTTTTGAATACCAATACTCTATTTATCTCTGTTCAACCCAACCTAAAACAAAGACTTCCTAACAAGAGCCATATTCCATTCTCCATAATTTAACATCTAAGACTCCAACCCAGCCACACCATCTCTCTACCACAATGGTTCTTAGATTTCTCTGCTGGCCTACCTTTCTCGAGCCACAACTCCTAATCACTTACTACATTGTATCCTGATTTGAAACTAAGAAAAGTAGCTTGTTTTAGATGCCATATTTGAAATTAAAGAAAAGTGACTTGTTTTAGATGCCTTCCAAACAAAATTAGCTACTTTTAAATGCAAAATTGCTCAATAATATAAATAGCATTATTTTAACTCACAAAATCTTAAATCTTATATTTCAAATACTAAATCTCATATCATTTTGCCTTTCTTTAAAAAAATTGTATTATGATGACTGATTTTCGTCTTTATTTCTGTCAATCTCAATTTACGAAGATTGCAATTGAAGAAGTAAAGAAATTATAGAAGAATACTTCAAATTGGAAAACATTGAAATGGCCATTCAACAAGGGTTTCCAATGCTTGACTTGAATCCTGAGTTATGAATGGTTTAAAAATACATCGCCACTTATTTGGTTCACAAGTTTGCTTCCGCACTAAACTTTTGCATGAAGATGAAAATGGACGATACTAAAGTCTTGTATTCGACTCTCTTTATCGAATATTCTTTATTTGTAGTTGATGTTGCTATGATTAGGAAATATTACAAGAAAGTGGCGCTCTTAGTCTACTTGGATAAGAATGATTTAGTCATAATTGAGGGTGCTTTCAAGATTGTCCGTTAGACTTGGGCGACACTCTTATCTGTTCATAACAAAAAAAGAAGAAAAGTATGACGAAGATGAAGTTCTTTAGTTTGGATTAGATTAATCATTACATGTACTCAATTTTTTATGAATAATATATAATTAATTCTGATTTTATTTTATCTTTAGATTCAATTTGGGTTTGATTTTTGGGATCAGTCCAATTTCATAATTAATCACAATTATGATTAGCCACCATCATGCTAAGTAAAGTGAAGTAAATTATTGAAGAGTATTCTAATTTGGGTTTCTTAATCATTGAAAATTTAGGTATGTTATCTTTAAGCTTATAGATTACTTTGTTGGTTAATTTTGTTCAAAGAAATTGCATATATACATGTAAAGTTGAACATAAATAAAATACCCAACCCTTGTGTTAGTATGTTTAGTCAGCTTTTTTTTTATTATTTTGTAATTGAATTTTGTGGTTCAAGAAATTAGTGTATTAAGGGACTATGCGTTTTACTTGCTTTAGTGTTTGTATCGGTGTCATGGTTACTCAATTTTAGTAACAAAGTTGGATTTTGTTTGCTTTTGGTAATCAAATTTGTGGGTTTGTATGTAATTTAAAAAGTTTTTAGATAATGGTGTGGTTTCTGATATGGAACCGGATTGGAATGATTTGGGACTGATTTGAAGTTTCTGATGCATTATCTGATAACATATTTAATGGATTATTGATGAAATGGTGCATATGTAAGTTTGGGATGGAGAGAAGTGAATTTTTTCTTTGAATGGTGGTGAAGAATGCTCTGTAATGAATCTCTGATTGGTGTGCTAATTTTATTATGATGTACTTCATCCCATTTACTCTTTGGAGAATGGCTTCAGAGCCTATGTAATTATTACAATGTCTAATTCTATTATGTATTCATGCAGTTTAATTCTAAAGTAGTGAGTGTATGTCCTTCGTGGAGTTTAATGCTTTCTTGTTTTTATGATAATATTGTGAGTGGTTAATGAGCATTATACATTACCTTCGATTTGTTTCATCGAAGTTAGCTATGAAAGACAAACAGGTCATCTTTTGGAGTAAGTAAAAGTAAATAAAGCTTCAAGGGCTTGGCTTAATAGTCCGTCACCAGTTAATTGATCAAAACTTTTGAACCTCCTGGCTTCCCTTCCATCTCCTATGAAAGCCTGGGATTGTCCCCTTGCTGGAACATGCAGCAAGTTGCAATGCACTATTTCTTGCAGTAGGGACTGGTTGAAGTATAATCCTTGGTTCCTCTTGGCTTAAGTTGATGGATTCAATAACCAAAAAGAAAAAGCAAGTAATATTGTCCTGATTAAAGCAATCAGAAGAACACAATCTTGTTTCTTTGTTGCCAACACAGTAAATTGATCAATATTACTAGATACCGTTTCTCACTTTGAAGTGATTACATGTTTTAACATCTTAAGGATAAAGATTACAGCAGCATTCTTAAGCATCACAGTGCAGTGACTGAAGTATTACTTGAATTCCATGTTGAGGCCGAAGGGTAAGATTAATTACTGGTGAGTGGACATATGCAGGGGAGAGGGCAATGGAGTAGCGTTGGAGAATCATCGAGAGAGCAGTCTTTGTTTCTGTGGTCGCAAAGCTCATACCAACACAAGATCGAGGTCCCAACCCAAAGGGAATAAACGCAGCTGCATTGTATTTGGTAGCTTTGGCAATCCCTTCGGCAAATCTCTCCGGTTTAAAAAGACGCACATCATCTCCCCATAATTGAGGGTCATGGTGAAGTGCCATGTTTGGGATCATAAACTCTATACCAGCAGGGAGGACTAGCTTTCCCAATTGAACTTCTCTTCCAACTTTTCTTACCAGGCCATTTACAGGAGCGTACAATCTTAGAGTTTCGTACATGATCATGGTGATCTGTTTGCAGAATAGGAATTTAATATATTCAATTAGAACTCAGAATTTAAATTACTAAATGCTCAGCAGTGTACGCTATTGAAATGATTAGAGATTTGCAGTTTGCTTACTATTTTTAGCTTGGCAAGGCCTTCAGAATGTGGATTTTGGTTGCCAAATATCTCAATCACCTCTCTTCTTGCTTTCTCTTGCCAATCTCTATGGACTGCTAAAAGCAAGACAGTCCATGCAAGCAAGGAATTAGTAGTTTCCTGTCCAGCAAAGTAGAATGTTTTGCACTCATCTACCAAATCTTCAACCGAAAGCCTGTTTTTGTCGTCCAAATCATGATAGGAAGTTATAAGCAATCCCAGAAAATCACTACCGAAGCTGTCAGCTTCTCCACTCACTACTTTGTCTTCTCTTTTCTTAACAATCTCCATCACAGAATCATGTATTCCTTTTTCAAGTTTCTCTGACTCTATATCGTCATCAGTTTTCCAGAACTTACTGCAAAAGCAAACCAATGTAAGCCATATATTGGGAGAATACATAAAACAAAAATTCTTATTCATTTTCTTTGAAAATCAAGGAAAAACTTGGGATTAGTTAAGCCTAGAGGAACATACTTGATGCCAGGGATCCTGGCCTTAAATAAACTTCTGTTCACAATTATTGAGAGCTCCATCAGCATGTCGAAAATCTTCTTCCCTTCCAAGTAACTGCTACCAAAAGCTGTTCTCGATATCACTTCTGAAGTCAGCAATCTAAATTCCTGAAACACTTCGATCTCTTTGCCTTCCTGACCTTTCCACTGCTCTAGCATTCTTTCAACGCTAGCAATTACTGCTGGAATCATGTTCTGCCAAAACCATCCTCCAATTTGTAAGCAAACAACATAAGATTGCCAAAATTTGACACCTATCTCTTATTCATAGATAATTATTCTATGCTTAATCACAACTAATTCATAAATCACAGCTGCTAATAATCTATAGTCAAGTTGTTTTAGTTTCGAAGTTTTACTTTTAAGCTCTCCCCATGAAAAACATAATTGGCTAACTTCCTCTGCTTCGCCCATTTTTCACCTTCGGTTGTCACAAGCCCGTCCCCCAGTAGCCTGCTAACGTAGATTGGTGGCTTCGGTTTTGGAAAAGCTTTTTCACTATTTTTCAGAACCTCTTTGACTAGCTCTGGTTCGGTAATCGCCACTTGAGCTTGAATACCGTCCCAATAAAGATAATTCTTCCCTAATCAAAGTTTAAAAAAGGGTCAATCTTTTTATGGAACTGGAAGTTAGAAATCATATAGTGAAAAAAAAAACAGGCATCTTGTTGTCTCACCGTAGATATTGATCCAGGAGTAAACATGAGGTAGCACTTTGGGAAATATATCATGTGTCAAGGCCATATGTTTGCTTAATGCTTCCTTTCTGAAATGGTTAACTTCCTTATTGTTTCCGTGGATGAATCGGTAAGGAGGTCCTTTAATTCCCCGTGAACTCAGTAAATGCTGTATACGGAGCGGCACCCACCAATACTGGTAGAGGACCTTGACTAGAGATATGAGGAGGTACAGGCAGAAAGAACCTGCGAGAAGGATTACAAGCTTTTCTATGACATCCATTTTCTTCTCTTAACAATGAATTCAGATGTTCCTATATTCTCCTACGTTTGATATGGAGGACTGGATTTGGATTATGATTTCCTCAGTAGCTGGGGGAGTTGGGTTGTTTTTAACATGACAATTGGACGTGATTTCTGACTTATTTAAATAAGAGTATTTTGAAAATGATTGCGAAGTTTTCTTTTAAATTTGAAAAAAGATGCGTACCCATTATTCCTTTCATTCTGTCGCTGTAAGTCCCTGGATCCTGAGCTTGTTTTACATTCTTGGATTTTAGCTTGATATAAATGAGTTGGTCTCCTCTTTTCTTTCTGTTGTTTGAAGCAAAGCAGATCGGAGCTATAGTTTTATTAGACGCTTCAATATTATTAGGAAGTACATATGTCAGGACAAATTAATATAAGCCAAAACTACATTGATTGATCCGTGTTTAAATGAATATGAATCACCTTCATAGGATACTCCTTGACCTTGTGTCATTTGCCAAAGGGAACCAAACAGAAAGAAATGACAGTGTTGAATGGCCGATATCTTTGTCCAAATCTGCAGCCGGCCAGCTGCATATTGTCTTGAAGCTGAGATTCAGTTCATGATGATTGTCTGGCGGGCCACTCGAAGAAATTTCGAGGCCTTATTACTATCTAATTCTATACAAAATTGACCTACAACGTCTGCATTTAGATACTGCAGAAACCTTTCTGCTTGGAATTTATGCTGAGAGATCGAAATGCTGTCAATAGGTTGCCTGGATTTGCATATTAAATGCAGCTTAGGTTGTTCATATTGGCTATCTGTGGAATAATCAAATGTTTTCATCACCCTGATGTTAGCAGATTCATGCAATTCACCCTGATTGCTACAGTAATTTAGAATTTCAGAAGGGTAAGATTGTCGACTAGGAACAATCAAAAGCAGGGGTATGATCACAACGTAGGGCAGTAGTATATGTTTGTAATATCACCTGTCCCTTTGGGGAGGGCTTTGTTCTAATATCACTCGTTGGCCTTGTAACTATAGCTTTGCATATTGTCAATCATTTGACCACTCCATTGTTAATTTTTCGGGACAATAATGACCAAATATGCAGTCACTACAGTAGTTTACATACATTAATTTGTATTCCAATTGTCTATTTAATTGCATAGCATTTTTAATGAAGCTTTAAATAAGAAAGATATCTTCTAACTACTAGGAAAGAGGAACACTAGTTAAGCATTTATGTTACTTCCAACGTCAACGCTGTCTTTGGGACATTCACTATGAACCAGGAGTGGCAATTCAAGACCGAAACTCAAACAGACTTACTGTTGCAAGTGAGAAATATGTTCAGTCCAAAAGCTTAGGGATAAGAGACATGTACTCAAGTCAAGAGACATCAACTCAACTGCATTGCTTCCCTCAGTTCCAAATAATGTGTAAATGGCTTAAAGGTACAAATCATAAGAAGTGTTGCAAAAGTAATTACCAGCCTTGACCCCACGGGCAGATAAGCGGTCATCTACATGCTTCCACACCAGCAGCTCCATCAATTGCATGCTATAATGGTTGCATCCAAATTGTAATGGCAGGTGCCACCAAATTGTGGGCCATTTTTATCTGAGTTTGAGGAAGATCCATGGAGTTGCACAAAAGTACACAATGATGGTCAAAATGGGCTCCATGTGATTCTGATTAATTGGGCCCCAAAAACCTTTATTACCCTCAAAACTATCCCCAGTAGTCATTCCAAAAAGAATGTTTGCGACCAACTTGGGATCTTTTCATCATTGTGGGAAAAAGTACAGAAAACCGGAAACTTTCAAGATTGCCTAACTTTTTATGATTGGAAGGTCAAATAGGAATTGTTCATTTTGTATGATTTGAATGATTAAAAGCTTTTTGGTAATTCCTCATTGACCTTTTTTTGATTCTCTACTTTTATTATCCTACATGCTTGCAAATTTGTATATGGAGTTTTTTGTATATGAATGTAACCATATGTACAAGATAATAGTATTACTCGAGTATTTAATTCATTGGTTGTTGCATTCTAAATAGTAGAATTCGAATTCCTTCTCCCTCAATTATTAAAAAAAAAAATATATGTATAAAATAATAGTATCTTTATTTTGATTAAGAAATAAACTATGCTTTCACTTTTATCATTTCCAAATCTAATTAAAAATTATAGATATATAAATCAAATTTATAACGAAGTTATAATTTTTGTTATAATAAATTTTAATTGAAATTATTATATTATTATTGTTTTTAGGCAATGAATGTGAATAAATTTTTAAATTGAAACTATATATATCTCCTATTAGATTAAATACTCAATACCTTATCATCTAAAATATTGAAAGTGTGATGGGAAGTGTCAATTGCCACTTTCTCAAGAGGATTATAAATTTTCCCAATGTTTGTTTTTGTCTCCCCTAACTCTCAAGAGACAACACATTTTGGCACCTCTGAGCAAGGTCGGGTTGTGGAGGAATTGGCACCAAAACTGATTGTCCACTTCCATTGTATTGAGAGCAAATTCTAACTTCTATTAATATATTCAAACTCGTGAAGGATTATTATGTTTCTTTTTTCATTAAAAGGGTTAAAGATCACCAAACTTTTTAAGAGAGATTATAACCCTGCTATATCTTTTGAAACATTTGATGTTGTTGGTTTTCTTTTTCCCACTCAATACAATATAACACTAAATCTGGTTTACAACAGTGGAATTAAAACAATGAATCTGTATTTAGCAAATTAATCTACATTTTGCTGTACATACTTTAATTTATTATGGAGAGGCTTTTATGAAAAAAATGGATGTCTCATTCATTAGAAATAAAAAAGAAAGAGAACAGAATGGATGTTTCAGTTGCAGAAACTGGTTGAATGCTTAAGCAACATAGCAAATTGGTTGTGGTTTTGGACCACCAGGTTAATTCAATGAGGTAAGGTTTCTTTTGAAGCCAGGAAGCCAGGTTAATTCATTGGGCATAAGAGAGCAAGGTTGTGTCAGCCCTGTTAGCAGGGCCAATAATCTTACTGGCTTTCTCTGCAGCACTTGAATTTTTGGTTTTTATGGTTTTTTCTCTGTAATTCTGCCTAGGATGTGGACTGCTCAGAGTATAAGGCCTCAAATAAGTCTCCAGCTGGGCCAATGGCCAATTCAGTGGCTCAGCTCTTTCTGGGGTATAAACATATGAAATGTAGCCATTGATGTCTTCAATGGACCAGCAGAGGTTTTCAATTCATTACATCTCAAGTTTCCTACCCTCTAAAAAGGAAAACCTCAAGTTCTAATTCATAATACATTTTGCATAATTTTTTTTTTCATTTTTATAAATTGATTTGGCTTTATTTTTTTTTTGTTAATTATTTTTTTAATATTGGTTTTGACAGAAGTTTCTATTTATAACTTTGATAGCATATCTTTTTTGGAATGAAGAAAGGGGATTGATCCATCCAACATTTTAAGCAAAAAAATACATATGTTTATTATTAAATCAAATGTTTAAGAGTTTATATATTTGGATAAGAGATTGGCAACCAATAACCAAGTCAAATCCCTTCATTTCCAAATAATATATGTATATATATATATATATATATTCAAGAGCCAATATTAATTAGTTTATCTTGTTAATAATTAAATAAAACAAAGGGGCATATAGCAAACAATAAGATTTGGCTCACTTGGTCAAGTACTATGAATAAGTTGAGGAGTTATTATCACAAATTTATTATCCAAATCCTTCATCCTAAAGTGTGGGGGTAAGCTTTAATAGTTTCTATCACTTTAGAAAATTAAATATATAGAGAAATGACTAGAATTTGAAACAATCAAATAGGCTAAATCAAAGTTTGTTATTTATGGTTTATCCTAATTTGAAAATCAGATATATTCATCCTTAATCTTGAATAGCCAAAAACTAGAGAAAATAAAAGATTAATGAAAAACAACTGTCAAATGTTTGATAAACAATGCAAAAAAACAATAACATTAATCTTTTTGTAAGAAATGTTATCATATAAAACTTTCTTTTTTTTTTTTGGAAAGATATCATATAAAACTTTCTTATCATGTTAATTATAAATCCAAAAAATAAAAAATGACAAGTAAACTTAATTCCCTTTTAAGTTTGAAACCAAATTTATTGCAATTCTATAAATATATATATATATATATATATTGCAAGTAACATAAAATTTATTGTTCTTTATTTGAGTTTATCTTTGAAATTTATGCATCTTTCTAATAAAATAAAATGAGAAGGCTAAGGAGCCTATCTTATAATTGAAGCCAGAAATGTGGCACCACCAGCTTCTTATCATATATGTAGCTTATGACTTGGTAAATAAAGAAATGAAATTTGTATGGGTCGTCCTCAAAGTCAATTCAATAACATTAATTCCCAACAAATTGGGAAATATAAGATGAGTAGATGACCACTCAAGTTCACATTCATCTTTTGTTGCTATTTTCCCAAAAGCCTAGGGAAATTAGGTGCTGAATTAAGTCAATAAGACAAGTGTTTACTCTATTGCCACATATCCCCTAATAATATGTTATGGACCTAACCTCATCACCACTTAACTTAAAAAGGATCTCACGTCTTAAAATTTTCATACTGAATTTCTTCACTTTAAAAATAGATATATATATATATATATATATATATATATATATATATAAAGAGAAAGATAATCTGTATTTTATATAGTCTTAGATAAATGTGGCTATGGTTAACCTAGAAGGCTATGCCTCTCAACCACCACAAAGATTGGCTTAAATTGCAACAAAATACCTTACACACACACAAATCATAAATGCTGAGACAAAGACAGAGACATTTTGGAAGTAAAAAAAAAAAAAATCAAATCAAAATGAGAAGTCCTAAAAAGGAGATAGGTTGGTGGTGGGTAATTAATTAGAAAAGAGTATTTAAAGCTTCTAAATTAAGGAAGTTATTAAAAGGCTTTGCATATATAGAGAGAGAGACAGAGAGAGAACGAGAAGGACTTATTCTAAAAGCTAAAAAGTGGGTTTTAATATTTAATACCTCTATTAAATACTAAAGAGCTGCTGTTACGGCACCCATATAGGCATTTCTCTCCTCCCCCTCCCCGCTTCAACCCTTTGTTTTTTTGTTTTAATTTTTTTTAAAGGATTTAATTTGTGAAGATTTGCCGTTTCAAACGGGAAAGTCAACAGGACACGTTTTGATTAAACTTCCATTATTTAGTATCTTTCTTTTAATAAAATTAATTATTTTTTCATTTATTTAACAACTTATAATACTTATAGTGAAAACCCAAAACTACCCCTACGGAGTATGACTCAAGTGGGGGGCAAAATGAAGGTGTGCTTTGTCTTCTGACATGAGGGGTGGGGGATAGGGTTTTTTTTTTTTTCTTCTTTCACGATTATCACCACCATTCAAAAGGGAAAAAAAAATTATCAAAATAAATAGTTATTGCAATTTTTGGAAAAAAAGGCATAATTGAGGAAAAGATAATTATAATTTACCCTTGTTTTTGGGATATGATAGAGGGTTATAGTCTTAAGCTTCTTCCTTAAATGTCATTTCATTTTTGCATGCTCCATTTCTTTGTCTCTCATTCCTAGGTAAGTTTCTTTTTTTAATTATATTCTTATTTTTTTTTAAACTCTGTTATCTGTTTGTTATTTCTTCATCTGGGATTTCTCTATTCTCTATTCTCTATTCTTTTATTTAAGTTAAAACATTAATATTAATAAACAGTATAAAAATGTAAGCAGACATCAGTTAAAAAAAACCAAACACGAAGAAGAAATACATAAAGTAACGAAACAGTGTTTGCATTTTGCATTTTTAATACTATCTTTCTCCTCCATGGCAGTAAGGAAGAACAAACAAAGTTCTTTTTCTCCGATTTGAAAAATTCAAGGTTAATGCTTTAATGGGTTTTTTAAGCAAAGGTGAGATTTTGCTTTTTCGGAGTTTTCAAGCCATTTCTTTTCTCCTCCTCGTTCTGATTGATGTGGAAGGGGCACCATAGTATTTTTAGTACCCCACAAAAACCCCACAATGGGTATCTTGCAAAAGTTTAATTTTTTGGCCTGAAACAGTGTCAGATGAAAGAGAAAAAAGAAGAGGAGTTGGTTGTAGGGGACAATGATCAAGAGATGCATGCATATATATATATATATATATATATATACACATACATTTGTTAAGTAACCATTAGATATCAGCGTATCTTTAGAATGTCAGGGGCAAAGGTTATAGCCTAATATAGGCCTGTAAACTCTGGTGTTCTGATAAGAAAAAGAGAGAAAGAAACAGACTTTTTATTGGTTCTGTGGGTCTTTATTGCTGGGATGGTCTAAAAGGGCGTCTTCTTTTTAGCCTGTAGAGTGTATGGAAAAAAGGCCTGGAACTTTTGGTGATGGGTTATTTCTTTACTGTGCTGTTCATTCAATCCTTGGTACTCTGAAAGGAAATTCATGGCTGTGACAGCTATGCTGTACCTTTTGCTTTTCTTGGACTTTGAATACCTCCCTTGTTACTGGGAGTTATTACATCAACTGAGGTTGTTGATGTTCTCATCAAGGTTCTGCTGCTGCCTGCTGGTGCTATTCGTTTTATTTTTTATTTTTTATTTTTTCCTTGTATGTTTCAGGTCTGATATTGATATTGATATGGCTTGGTGAATTATTTAATTAGTTTTATTTATTAGTACTTTGTTACTGTTATTAATTGATGTTGCTTGTTTACTTCTCTTTCAATATATTCCCTTTCTTTTACCTTTTCTTTTTAGATTGTCTGTTTCTCTTCAATCCTTGGCTTTTCCTATCTTCTTGTTCTGCATGGTAGGTTTTCTGCACCTTGGTGGGGTTTTTTACTCTGACTTCGTTTCTTGCTTTTCTGCATGTTGTGAGTTCAACTGCACAGTGTTGTTTGTTTTTGGATTTTTAGCTCTTTCTGATTTCTATGTTACTCCTTTCTTCACTCGCAAGTAGTAAAAGCAGACAGCTAATGGTGGATTTGTTGGTGGTTGAACAGTGAAGTATTGGTCAAGGGTGTAATATTGATAAGTGGCTATGGCATCAACGTCTTTTGCCAAGCAGAGTCTACTGGCCATGAAGGAACCAGCGTCTAACTATAGTCCATATCCCCCGCCTCTTGCAAGATATGAAGATGTTGCAGCTAGTCCAAAGCTTTTCATGTCTACTTTGGAGAAGCTACATGCTACCATGGGAACTAAGTTCATGTAAGGTTTCTTATTTGATCTTTCTTGATGCTTTTGGTTTCCTAAGTCTTGGGTTTGACTTGGAAACATTTACCAAATAGCATTTCTCTGTCCATATATGTCAGCATAAATGTCTAATATTCACGACCGAGGCTACTATCCAGATTCCAGTTGCATTTTTTCCCTGTTATTTGCAGTATTACGTTTACACAATGGTCTTATTTTCATATTCTTGATTGAGTTACTATCTTGGGGTGTTAGGATTGAGACTTGTATTTATTATATTTTAAGTTTATAATTGTAGCATAGGCTAGCAGTTTATTGTTATGATATATACTTCTGGTTGGAGCTTGTCTGCCCTACCTGGGAACCGTGATAAGGAAAAATGTGGCATGTTCCATAACTGATTATGCTTGCTGTTGTAAGGTCTTATGTTATTGTTCACGAAGTTCTTAGGTGGTTTGATTAATAATTGTCGCAAATAAAAAAGGTTTTCTTGAGCACATGCATATCCTACATATTATTTAGCAGTCATCCTTTCTGAGCAGCTTCTTTAGAAGCTTGAGTTCTGATAAATCCTTCTATTTTGATGGTCCTGAGTTTTGGTCAAGTTCATGGCGATCAAAAGTAAGCAGGACATTGTTGATATAGAACCACTGATAATTTCATATTATGATTTTAATTTTATTATGTTTATGTGCTGATTTAAAAACTATGGTAGGTTTAGCAGCACATGCTTTGGTTTTGTCTGTAGAAAACAGGGTAATACTTACTATATTCTTTGAATTGCAGTTTTAATTTTCTCCTGTTTGTCAATCATGTGCAAAATTGTAGGACACTTAATTCTTCCAGCCTTTCTGATACTGCATTTGGTTTTGTCTGGTTAACGGAAAAGTGTTTGATGAAATTGATCATAAAAGTGGAGAAAAAATTACATCCATCTGCGCATACTCACCATGTACAGTTCTTTCTTTTTTTGGCTGAATACATATCCTAGTGGAGTATGCTTATTGGTAGTTTTAGGTTAGATGTCTATCTCTGTGATTCAACACTGGCATGAACAAAGCCAAAATATGCTTGTGCCTTTGACATATAGCTGGCGTAATTACCCTTTTTGACCATATGTTTTGTAATTGTACTTGTCAACTTAAATTTGGATAATTACTTTTGTCTCCTGTACTCTGGTTCAGGATTCCAATCATAGGAGGAAAGGAGTTAGATTTGCACAGACTTTTCGTGGAGGTAACATCTCGTGGTGGTATTGAGAAGGTAAGGTGAAACTACAGACACCTAATTGTTCAAGTTTCTTCCCTGCAAGTAGTGTCCTTTGGAATCCTCACATGGTTAATGAATTCCATATGTGTTCAATGTGGTCATGCTGTTACTCATGTATCCGTTGATACTTTTCTTTGTAAACTAAATAGCAAAATTATAGAGCTATATATTAATATCTCCTGATTTTTGTATGTCCTCAAATGTCAAATTGAGGGCCGTAAAAATGGCCAGTCTAAGTGCAATCTTCCTTGAGAAATACCCTGGATAGCAGTAGGGACTAGGAACTAGAAAATTTATCTCTGGAGGAGGAGGTGAGTTTGAAGGCCATCTGGTGGCAGAGCATCTATCCTTGATGTGATAAATTTATTGAAGCATGTTTCCGTTGAAAATAGAACGTTTGTCATTTGGTACACTACTATTTTTAAGTCCAGTCCATTCCTTATGAATGTTCAGTCTGATGCTGAGCTAAGATGGTTGTAGTCTTGTTTAGAAATCATTTGTTAATACTATCAATTTTCTCTTTCCTTTCCACTGTGGAGAAATCAGCTTAGTAGGAAATGTGCTTGATTGTGTTCTCCAGAACTTTTTTCATGAGTGTTTGAACATGTACAGTACAAACTAGGTGAAGCTAATGATTGCATTTAATAGTTATTTTGCTCACTTTGACTTGGGATGAGCTATGTATACTAATGGTCATTAATCGTCATCAAATGGAGCTTGCAGATTATAAGCGAACGGAGATGGAAGGAAGTGACTGCTATTTTCAACTTTCCCTCCACTGCTACAAATGCATCTTTTGTGCTGCGCAAATATTATGTTTCTCTGCTTTATCATTATGAACAAATCTACTTTTTTAAAGCCCGTGGTTGGATTCCTGTTTCTTCTGGTATGCAAATGAGAACTCAACTCTTCTTGAATAAAAGTCAGTGTTCTGCTCTTAATATCATCTGATGATTCATTTGTGCAGATCGTTTTCAAAACCCATCCATTACTTATAATCCTACTCAAGGGACAGTGCGGCCGTCGATAGAAATTCATGCAGCTGCTGTTCATCAACCAAGAGTAAATATTGCTGAGTTGCCTGCAGGTGCCTTTAAAGTTTTCTATGCCGAATGACAGTTTTTATTTTTTCTCTTGTAAAGTTGGTGGCCATTTCCCTTCCTCTCCCCTCTTCTCTTTTGGCCTGTAAACCTTCTTCAATTTCTTCTTGATTTTATGGTTGACCAAATATAAAGGAAATAATTTATATATTTCTCACATAATTTTGATTCCATTTAAAAATCTCTAGCTTAACTGGGTTAACCTTTTTATCAGTGAAGTTTCATGATTTGGTCTATTTTAGTAATGTGTTTTAGTTGATGCAGCAGCAAGGCCAGCATCAACAGCAGGCTCTCCTGTGATTGGGGTCATTGATGGGAAATTTGAGAGTGGCTATCTTGTTACTGTCACCATTGGCTCAGAGAAGCTAAAAGGTGTCCTTTATCAGGCTCCACAGGGTGCAGCACCCCAAATTCCACAGCAATATGGCATATTTGCGAGCAAGAGTGATAATGCTTATACTTCATTGGGTGTGCAACGCCGGAGGCGCCGGAAGAAATCTGAGATAAAAAGGAGGGATCCTGCTCATCCTAAGCCTAATAGAAGTGGATATAATTTCTTTTTCGCTGAGCAGCATGCAAGACTGAAACCACTACATCCTGGAAAGGACAGGGAAATAAGTAGAATGATTGGTGAATTGTGGAACAAGTTAAACGAGACAGAAAAAGTGGTAAGAGCCATATCATATTCTGTAATTCATGAATTGAACATGTCTTTCAACATTGTAATCTCTTTTGTGATCTGCTTATTAACTTCTAACTACTTGTATGGACTTTTGTGATTGTTCAGGTTTACCAGGAGAAAGCTCTCAAAGATAAAGAAAGATATAGAATTGAGATGGAGGATTACAGGGAAAGATTAAGGACAGGTCAAGTTATCAGTGATGCAGTGCCTCTACAGCAACGACTTCCGGAACCAGATGTAGATATGGCAGAAGCAGATATGAAGCTTGAAGAAACTGAAGGTGGTGATTCTCCTCAAACTCCAGAAAATGATAGCAGCTCTGGTGAAAGTGATTTTGAAGATGATAAAACTGCAGCTAAGGATTTAGACATGGAAGAATCTCCAGTTGTGGGAGTGGTTGGTGAATCTATGAATGTAGATGTGGAGGTTACAGCTGAGCTGGTGAATGAGCTGCCGCCTAAGGTGGAAGAGAATGTTGGAAATAATAAGGTTGAGAAGTTCCGTATTGAGAGTGAAGAGAATTTGGGAAATACTTTGTCAGAGACAAAGAAAGAACCGATGCCAAGTGAGGAACACTAGAATTTGCTAGGGTTAGGTTTGCCATCCTTGTGCTCATTGTGGCTTGCCTGAGGATAGATGCATTAGAAATGGTTATTAACTTTCTTTATTGTTTACATTTACCCTTCATAGATGTTCTTTTTTTTGTTTGTAAAAATTTAGTCTTACTGTAAGCAGAAGGTTTTTTTTCCTTAGATGAGGGCAGGATATCTGGCTGGCTTGGGAAAGTTTTGTGGGGAGAAAATTTTGGCTCCAATTATATAATTGACTTTCTAAGTAACATCCCAATCCCTGCCAAAAGTTTAACTGAGCATATTGGGCTGTGAGAGGGCTCATCTGTAATCAACAACAAAGTATAGAAATGCATCAGGAAATATTTTCAACTTATGCACAGTAATTAGATATCTGCAGTTTCCTGTTTTCAGGCATGCTTAGTTGCAATGTGAATTTTCAGGTCCATCTTTTGTTTCTTTTCGAATTGTCCAAGCCATTATATGTTCAAGATGTATAACTAGATGCATGTGCAAGTGTTGGGAAGGTTTGACACAGGAACAACCAATCTTTTTGTATGTATGGGAAAGATCAAACTCATAAACTATGTTATCATGAGCTGTTTGATACATGCTTAACATGGATACATCAAGATAACAAATGCAGGGTGCCATAAGTAATGGAGGATAGAAGTGACAATTGTCAGGAAATTTTCATGTCACCATTAATGGATTTAATATTTACTGATTAAGATTTGAAAATTTTGATGAAGCAGCAGATTTCATATATTAATAATGTATATATTTATGTTAAAGTAAGTCTTGTAAGCATAACAAATGTGTGATCAATTTTAAAAGATTATTATTTGTAGCTTTACAACCCTATATTTCTTTTTTTTTTAAATAATGATTCGATCATAGTTGAGGGTACTTTTACGATCATCTATCAAACTTGTGTGACTCTCACAAAAAAAAAAAAAAAGTTGTTTAGTTTGGATTAAATTCATGTTTATATGTTCTCAAATTTTTTATGAATAATATATAATTAATTTTGGTTTTATTTTATCTTTAGACTCAATTTGGATTTGATTTTTGGGGTCAATCCAATTTCATAATTAATCACAATTATGATTAGCTACCATCATGCAAAGTAAAGTGAAGCAAATTATTGAAGAATGATTTGATGTTGGTTTTTTAGTCATGGAAGATTTGGGTATGTTTTCTTTAAGCTGTTAGATTTTTTTTTGGTTAATTTTGTTTAGAGAAATTGCATATATACATGTAAAATTGAATATAAATAAAATATTCAACTCTTGTGTTAGTATATTTTATCAGTCTTTTTTTTAATTTTTTTATTTTGTAATTGAATTCTGTGGTTCAAGAGATTATATTGAGTTCTGTGATTTAAGAGATTATTGTATTAAGTAACTATGTGGTTTACTTGCTTTAGTGTTTGCATCGATGTCATGGTTTCTCAATTTTAGTAACAAAGTTAGATTTTGTTTGTTTTCAGTAAACAAATTTGTGGGTTTGTATGTAATTCAAAAAGTTTTTAGATAATGCTGAGGTTTCTGATATGGAACAGGATTGGGATGATTTGGGACAGATTTGAGGTTTATGATGCATTATCTGATAGCATGTTTAATAGGGTACTGATGAAGTTTGGGGTGGAGAGAAGTGATTTTTTCTTTATATGGTGGTGAAGAATGCTCTGTGATGAAGCTCTGATTAGTGTGCTAATTTTATTATGATGCACTGTTTCCCATTTAATCTTTGGAGAATGGCTTCAAGTCCATGTAATTTGTTGTAACGTTTGTAGGCGTGTAGATACATTCTCACTGAACCTCCCTGGTTGCAGTGTTTGACTGAATTTTCTGAACCTCCTTGGCTGCAGTGTTATCATCATATAGCATTGGTCTTTTGTTTTTTTATGGTAGGTTGGTATATATACAGATGAAGATTTGTAGAAGCAAGGAGGCAAAGGTTTCTTTGTGACACACACTGACATAACTCTTGGTAAACACAGGAGATGCATTAAATTTTAATATAATTTTTTTTCAAAGCAGCATTTACATCTGATAGGTAACATATTTTTCTCCATTTTACCATGTCAAGAGAAGCAGACAAATAGTTCTATGCATTTATGATCTACAGCTTATTGGCATGGCTAGAAATGTGTTTTCCTTCCACTTTCGGGATTGAATTGGTTCAGTCTGTCCTGCTGTGTTAGCCAGATATTTCAGTATCGTTCCCTCGACCACTTTCTTTCACCAAGCACCGCAAATGACAACTTCTCCTACTAGGTGCTGCATTTTCTAGTTTGATATTGCAAGATCCTTCACTCTATAACCCCTCTTCACGACTTATACATTGTCGCTATAAAGCAAATCAAGCTGCTGCTAAAATTTTAAGTTTGATAATCATAATAATGAATTAATTTGAACCATTGTTCCTTACCTGACTCTATAGTTTAATGAGACCAACAGTCTGCAGTAGAACATATACAAGTGTTTATCAAAGAAAATCTACTCTTCCGCAGTAGTTTATTAAAATCATTGCTTAGAAATGCTGAAGCTGAGCTTCTAGTGCCATCCTTTAATGATTTTTATGGTATTAAGGTTTGGGCTTGCCTGTTAGGCCAATAAGGAGTAGGCACGTTCTAGCTTAGTTGGGAAGAAATGGATTTTGAGAAGGTACAACTAAGTCCATCAATTATTATTATTATTATTATTAAAATTGAAAGAAAGAAAATTTAAATCTTACTCATTAAACAGGAACATCATACACCAATTAATAAATTAAATGTTTCAATGCAATCCATCAATTATTATTCCTCTCATTAAATCATTATATCCTTACCTTTCATCAAAATAATAGTTAAATAACAAACCTTATATTAAAATGGTAACAAGAACTAAATCAAGTTTTCGTTAAGTTCTGATAAAATAAAATAAAAAGAAATTCAATTAGCAGCCTTTTTTAAAAAGATTTCCAAACTTTATCAAAAAAGGAAAGATGCCAAAAGCATTTAGGTTAATTGTTCCTATGTTGTTAATCAAATGCGGAAAGTAGAATCGCAGCGGGCCCAGGAATGGGGTGAGGATTGGGCCCATGGTAGCTGACGAACATTCTATCTTTCATGGGCATTCTGTCATTTGCAGAGGGCCCATTTAACCCGTTTCCATACAACAAAAGGCCTCTATTTCCACAACATAAAAGTAGTAAAATCTTTTAATAGCATAAACAAAAAAACTCAGAATCAGAAGGAAACCAGAAAGAAGAAAGCAAGCAGGAAATGAACCAAAATAGTTGGCCTGTTCTGTTCCATAAGGAAGTTTGGATTAACTATGTGACTATGTGCTAGTAAAAGCTGATACAAATATACCAGGTTCAAGATGAAATAAAATAAGACTGCAAAATATGAGTCACAGTTTTTTCATTCAAATGTATGAAAATAAAGGGAGTATGTCATGAATCTGAGACCAAAAGAGCATCCCAGATCATATCCATGTCCAAGGAAGGCATTCTACTTAACTGTACAGCATCCACATCTGAGGGTGGCATCTCCTGACTTTTCTTGTTACTCTCATTCACTTCAGACCCTGCCTTGCTCTCCACCTCAAATTGCCACTCTCTTTTTGCAGTATTCTGGTTTAAATCTTTGACTTTTTCCTCTGTCGGTGATGGATCATTGGACTTTTTGTTAGCAGATAAGCCTTGTGATATTGCTTGCAACTTGGCTTCAAGAAGTGCGGCTGTGTTCCCATTCAAAGAATTGGCCTTGAGTTGATGCTTAAGATCTGGAAAATTCAAATGTGCATATTCTCCACGCAACATGTACGCCGCTGTATCATATGCCATAGCAGCTTCTTCTGCAGTGTCGAAAGTCCCTAACCAAACCCTTGTTCTATTTCTTGGTAGCCTTATCTCTGCAACCCACTTTCCCCAATGCCTTTGCCTTACCCCTCTGAACTGCTTTCCAGTTGATGAGGCTGATGACATAGAAGAACCCTTTTGGTGCTGATTCTGCAATCTCCTTCCAGTGTGCTTCATAGGCTGAGTCTTGGTAGTGCTAAGCCAATAGTCACTAAAACCTTTGGATGGATAATTTGTCAAACTCTGGTTGATTCTAAGCCATTCATTGCCCAGTTGAGAGTGAATCTGGCCAAGTTGAGGCGTGTGGAACGTAGGGTCTTGAGACAAGGTCGATGTAGGTTCACTCTTTTTGCCAGTGGAATCAATGGCTCGTGTGGATGGGTCTAACATGGTCGGTTCCGGCATAAACAAAGTTAAATTTGGGAACTTTGATGTGGTTGATAAAGAAGATGGAGAAGGCGGTTCGGAAACTTGAGCTTGGTGTACTTCTGGCAAGGACTCCAAAAAGTTCACTGGAATAAAACCGTCCCTAATATCAGAAACAGAATCTCCAGGCGGGTGGACAGAACTAAATCCTGGAACAAATAAACTTGAATGGGTTCATTCACAACATCCTGTCTGATAAATCCAGGATTGTTTTTCAACAAATTGGCACCAGGAGCCTCCTCTGCTGAAGAACTGGAATTGGAACTTGAAAGCAGCCTATCAAGCGATGGTGATGATGATGATGATAACTTACTTCCGCTGCCACTCCATTTTCGTGACAAGCAGTACCAGATAAAGCACCCCACATGATTGGATCATTGAAAAATTTTGGACCTGTTGCCATGCCATAAATATAAGATGGCCACTCCTTGTTCATGAAGGTTTCCGTTTTAGGAAATTGGTTTTCCATACTCATAATTTCCGCCGAAAACAGAACAAAAGTGAGAAGGAGATAGAGAAATGATGCAAATGAAAGTTGTATGCTTTATATATGAAGGTTTCTGCTGAAGCCTTACTAAAATAATATTTATGGGAAATTACTTTATGCTTATAAAAGATAAGTCATTGTCTGAGTCAGATCAGCTTGTTCAAAAAGAATAAGGCCACCACCTTCCAATTTCCCTACGCATTCGTGCTAGCCATTCTCGATGTCTATAGACAAACCAATCAAAAACTTACAGATCAGGCTTTCTTGGCTTACCTGTCATCTAGGGTTCTTAGGATGGTGTATATTCTCCCATGACAATGACTACAAGAACCTCAAGAAACCTTTACTTCCATAGCATAATTATTTAGTGCTCCTTTTAATCAATGACCATGTGATTTTCTCAAACACTCACATGACTTATTCATCCCCTGTTACTTTCGAATTTTAATTTTAAAATGAAGGGTAGACCTTACAATGAGACAATATTTAATTGTTGTTATAGTTATTAGGGCAGAAAAAATTGCAGTCTAACATCTTTACATGTAAATGTGTATGATATGCTAAATTGCATAGTTTTCGTCTACATGGATGGAT